GCAGCCGCCGGCGCCGCGCCACGTCCCACACGCATAGCGCGCCGTCCAGCCCGCACGTCACCACCAACTCGTTGGACGCCGACCAGTCGCAGTCTGACACAACCTCATACCTCACACATCTAGTCACGCAAATCCGCTGTTCGACTCGATGAACTCCGTCTCTTTCAAATAAGCAATTAGCTAGTAAATTGCACAAACAACGGAATAATAATAAAATGCAATTAGCTTTTCATCAAATTCATTCATTTCATCAACCAAGCTTTCATATAAACATATTTAATAATCCTATTGGTTATTATATCTAAAAATATACAATATATTGAACAAGGGTAACCTTTAAAGGTGATCCACGAACAGACTACCTGGCAGTACATAAATTCCAAACGAGTAAAACTCGACGCATAGTATTTTCATTGATAACACACATAGTTGAAATATAAATATAATATTCCTACACTTTTAGCTACAATATGAAGAGGTCTTCTAAATATCAGTGTATTGTCCAACAACTGACCGGTGACAGCATCTGTGTGTCCTTCCAGTATGACGGAGACTCGCGGTGGAGTCGCCGTTACATCACAAATAGAGACAGTGCCATCGCGTGATGCGCAGCACAGCTTTGAACGATCATTGTTTGCAAACTTCACAACACTCACCTCATCTCTGTGCTAAAAAAAGATACACACATATTTCTTATCCATGTGCTCGAGTAATTTATTTTTATAAGAAAACTTTCTACAAGAGTTCTATAGAAAATTAAAGTCAACTGAATTAAAATTTCACTAACCTGATCAAAAATATGATGAACTCCAGTAAAAGCATAGTTTTCTGATATAGTTAAGTCATTTTTCTTCTTCATATGACTGCTTGGGATGTCATCAAAGGGTAAGCTTGCCTAAAATTGACATTCATGGATCAAATAATCAGTAGACCTGACTAAAATGGGTATACTTAAATATAAACTGATTACCTTACTACTAGACCTGGCTCGAGAGGATGAAGAGCTGATTGAGATGTTATCTTGGACTCCATACCTTCGCTGCAGTAACTGACTTCTAATATTAATGTATTTCTTTATAGTTTCAATGTCCTAACACAAATAATATTTTAATTTGTGAGTAGAAAGAGTATTTCCAGCTATCAAATAAGTACACTACAACGCTATCCAAAATGATATTTAAAGCTCTTATTTTACTTTTTACCTTAAACTTTGCATTTTCCCTTAAAAGTTGACTGCGTCGTCGAATATATAATGTTTCTGAAATATTAAGTAATTGTTTTTAGCTATTATAAATGAGTGATTTTCAGATAATTAAACAAATTTACAAATCATATCAGAAAAGTGGGCATACTAAAATTCGGATTCCCCGGCGCTCTGTATGCATTGAATCTAGCATCAAGCGCAAATATCTGCTGTTGAAAGGCTGCTGCCATATTTAAACTATTATAAAAGGTTCATAAAAAATACTTATTTTTATAAACACTTTTTCACCCATTTATTATTGTTTGCCAAGTTTGTTGATTCGACTTCCGCATTTGACAATGACAGTGACATACTGACAGAACAGCTGACTTTTTTTTATAAATCCGTTTCATGACTTAAATAGGTAGTGAAACTTTTTTAATACACAAAAAGACTTACAAAAGGTTAAACACGTAAAAAAAATCTGTTTTCTAAGAGACAATTTTGTCGAAAGTAAAACAGCATGCAGAATTAACTATTTATTGAAAATAATATGATCTTTATTTTGTTTGATGATTACTTACAATTAATTATAATTAATCTTCGTTGATTGTTTTATAGCTTTAACAGCTTTTTTTGCTCTCTTTGTAGCTTCTTCTTTAATTCTGTAACGCTTTTCTTTTTCAGCCAATCCCATTACTACATCATGGTGTAAAGCATTTTTAACTGTTGACTTTGCAAAGAGTTTCTTCAGAACGTAATCATCATCATTTGTATCTTTTTCATGCTTTCGCTTTTTCTTCTTAACTTTTTTAATTGCTACTAGATTTTCAATTACTTCATCCCGATCAGACGACGTGGAATGTCGTCTTTTATTAGAATTTGTGTTTTCACTATGATCAGCATTTATGTTTTCAACATCATCTTTATTAGAGTTTTTAAAATAAACAGTAGTTGAAGTATCAAAATTATCATTATTTGCATCAACCTCAGAAGAAGCTGCAGAAGTTTGATCTAATTCCACTTCAATTTCTTTATCGTCAGCTTTTTCAGTACCACAAACTTTAATATTATCTACTTGTTCTTCTGTAATTTTTTCATCTTGATTGTTTAATACTTCTTTCAACAAGTTCTCTTCATAATTTTCCTTTACATGCATGTTGACAATGTCTAACTCAGATAGTGCACTTTCAAATGGAACATTGGTCACTTTGTCATTTACTAAATTAATCTCAGGCAAGTTTTCAATTTTAGGTGGATTTAGGAGTAATTGTCTTTTTTGTTTATATCTTTCTCTCGGATCATCATTTGTTGTTGGTGAAACATTTTCACTGGATATTTTTTTACTAATTTGCTTTGCAAGTCTTTTCATTGCCTCCAATTTCTTTTTTGAAAATGAGACACTGCCATTTAAATGTATGTTGTCATTATCATTTTTCAATTTCCTGTTAATTTTTACTTTAGTATGCTTGAAAAGTGATGCAGTCTCTGTATCTCCCTCAAAATTCGGTTCTTCTAAGGTAAATAGTCCTTGTAAGGTGCTGGTAGTTAAAACATTCTTTTGGTTTGGATCAATTAAAACTTTGCTACTTAAGAAATTTTTAAAGATTTGCCTCTGATAGATCTTTTCCTCAATAGTACCTGCTGAAAGGAGTCTATACACAGTAACATTTCTTTGTTGGCCAATTCTCCAAGCCCTTTCTTTTGCCTGGTTATCTGTAGCTGGGTTCCAATCAGGATCATATATGATAACTCTATCAGCACCAGTAAGATTTACACCTAAACCACCTACACTTGTTGTTGCAAGAAAAACTAGATATTCTTTGTTTTCATTAAAAGTTTTGATTAAACTCTGTCTAATGCTAACATTCACTGTACCATCCATTTTGAGATATTTATAGTCATTACTTTGTAAATGTTGTTCCAGAATGCACAGCATAGCCGTTGATTGAGAAAATATTAAAGCTCTGTGACCTTGCTTTTGCCATATTTTTAACAAAGATTGAACAACTGTCATTTTACCAGACCTCTTCCAATGTCCAAAAGTTTCTCCATTTATTTCATCACCATCTTCATGTGCCTCATACAAATATATATCTGGATGGTTACAAATTTTTCTTAAAGTAGATAAAGCAATAAGTACTCTTGCTCTAAGAGGATCGCCATATCTGCTCTCTTTATCAAGAATGCTTCTAACCATTGTACTTGTCAAATAGCCCATGTACAAGTCTTTCTGCTCTTGAGTTAAAGCACAGAACAAAACTTGTTCATTTTTTTCAGGTAATTTAATGTGTTCCTGCACTTCTGCTTTAGTCCTTCTCAGTAAATAAGGTGTAATCATATCTTTGAGGGCTTTGGCTATTTCCAATGCAGTAGCTTCTTGGAATTCTGTAGCATTTGCATATCCACCTTGTGTAATAGGTACAGCAAAATGTTCCATGAAAGCTTTGTGTGTTCCCAGAAGGCCAGGCCTCATGAAGTCAAATAAAGACCAAAGTTCTTGCAAGTTATTTTGCATTGGTGATCCAGTAATCAATAATTTATGAGGAGTTTGAAATTTTTTCACTAGTTTACTCACTTGAGTTTCAGGATTTCTTATTTTATGACCTTCATCTAATATTAAATAGTGCCATTTATAGGATAACAAACATTTGTTGTATTTAACTACACCTTCATAAGTAATTAATAATATTCCATGTGAAGCTTGTATGTCTCTCAATAGTTGATTGTGATTACCATTATGTGAGCCTGAATGATGCAGAACAGCAATTCTTAGATTAGGACACCAATAATGAAAATGAGATACCCATTGGTATATTACAGTTGCCGGGGCCACAATGATTGTTGGTCCCAGTCCAACCCATGGACCGCTTTTATACTTTGCAAGACCTGCTAAAAATGCAATTATTTGTACAGTTTTCCCCAAACCCATTTCATCTCCTAACAATCCTCCACCTTCGACTTGGTGTAATTCCCACAACCATTTTACACCAGTCTTCTGATATTTATACAATTGTCTCCAAATATATTGTGGAATGTATAGACCATTCTGAAGTTCGTGGCTGTCTTCTATATCGGTGTTTCCATCTAACACATATTGTAAATCTGCTGTGTAATAATCTATAGTACTTAAATCGATTGTTCGTGAAAGCGCATTTTTTATGTTTTCTTTCCATTTATTGATACGCTGATTAAAAACATGTTTATTACCATCATCTATGATTTTCTTCATGTTTTTCTTGGTACGAACCGTATGGGTAGTTGGACTTCGTTTACAATCATCATCACTAGACAGTACAAAATCGGAATCACCGTCATCAGTATCACACTTAGGAGACTTTAAATTTTCAGCTCCCTCGGAATCACTTTTGTTCTTATTTCTAGCATTATGAAAGTTTTTGTTTTGTTTCTTGGAAATGTTTTCCGCAGCGTTTTGACTTTTCTCCGAAACTTGTTTATTACTTTTATTATGATTTCTTTGTTTAGCCAGTGCCAATTGGTTTTCAAGGTATTTGTTTATATCAGTCATTATTAAAACAACAATGTGAATAAGTAGTTTTATTATGGTTAAAAAATAATTTAAGTTTTATTTGCTACTTGCTATCTATTTTCACCAACTTTTCACCTTTGACATTTTGACATGTTTGGACAGGAAAATTAAAATGTTTTTACAGAATATTCAATATTAATTAATTTGTGGCGATTTTTACTTAGATTATTAGAGATTTTTGTTTTAATTACACGTCGTGGAATAGGTATTTTTCAGAAACACACTACGCAATTAATTAAAGACTGGCATTAGAACTCAAAACGTAATATTTTTGATAACAGTTTCGCAGTTCAAGCAACACTAGCCTGAAATGTCAAATTGTTATAACTCCACTTTGTAGGAATTTCTTATTTTTGTTTTATTTGATAAACCTTATAAATTAGCAATCAATTCATAATACAGTAAAGAAAAGTAAGAGATGTAATCAGCTTTATTACTGTGTTTATTTCAATATAACAAAGTATAACTATAGATAAGTGGTTAGGACGTATACCATTTTACCAAGCTTCTTCAAATTTTCCTTGAGAGTTCTGTTAACTTCGCCAATTTGAACAGTAGACTACAGTTATATAAAAAATGTCCGGTAGAAGAAAGCCGCCGCCGCCGGGCTTCAGTTTTAAACCAGCTGAAGAACAAGTTAATGTGTAAGTATAACATTACTACATTGTATATTATTATCTTTTTATATATATGTATAAATTTAACCTAGTAATTTTAGCAGGTTATAATATTAAGTTATAATTACAATACTGAAACTAACACTACTTCATACTTTTAAAATTCAATTAGTACAAAATGTTTTAAAGTCAAATAAACATGACCTTTCAGAACACCTCCAAGGAATCTTGATAAGCAAACAACAATCACAGTAGAAGACAAGACTTTCACTGTGCATGCTGATGACTTGGTGAAGTTATGTGACCTTGGCCGAGGAGCATATGGCATTGTGGAGAAAATGCACCATAAACCAAGTAACACTATAATGGCAGTTAAGGTATCATATTTAATTTATCAATTTACACATTTAAAAATTATCAATGAGGCCCATTATTTTCATCACAAAGACTAGTTGTTCTTTGCTCTGTAAATTTAGTTGACCTAATTAATGTAAATGCTTATCTTCTGTTTTGTTTTTAGAGAATTACAGCAACTTTTAATGCTCAGTCACAAGAATTGAAGCGCTTATTGATGGATCTTGATGTTTCAATGAGAGCCAGCGCATGTCCCTACACAGTTCACTTTTACGGAGCCATGTTTAGAGAAGGGGATGTTTGGATCTGTATGGAGGTTATGGATATGAGCCTTGATAAGTTTTATGCGAAAGCGTATGCCAATAATAGAACATTACCAGAGAATATTCTTGGAAAAATTGCGTTTTCTGTAGTAAGTGCCTTGCATTACTTGTATTCAGAGCTAAGAGTTATACATAGAGATGTGAAACCATCCAATATACTTATTAACAGAAAGGGGGAGGTGAAGATGTGTGACTTTGGCATATCTGGTTACCTTGTGGACTCTATAGCTAAGACTATAGATGCCGGTTGTAAGCCATATATGGCTCCGGAGAGAATCGACCCTAGTGGCAACCCAGGGCAGTATGATATTCGTAGCGATGTTTGGTCCCTAGGTATATCTATGATAGAGTTAGCAACCGGAAAATACCCATATAACACATGGTGTACTCCATTCGAGCAGTTGAAACAAGTTGTCAAAGATGACCCACCGAAGTTGCCGAGTGGATCATTTTCATCAGAATTTGAGGATATGGTGACAAGATGTCTTAAGAAGGACTTTAAACAAAGACCAAATTATGATGCCCTGCTATCACATCCATTTTGTCTAGAGCATAGTAAAAAGGAGACCGATGTTGCTTCCTTTGTTCAAGAAATCCTTGACTTACCGAGTCCCAGTGGCGATTGTTAATTAGAAATGTTTAATTTACCTATAAGTACAAGTTTTTAGTAACTAACAATAATGTAGGATATTAACTGAGCGAATGAGAAATTCAACATATTAACATTAATTTTTAAAGTTGTAACACAATTTGTGTGATGTGAGTTACTTCCAGTCATTTTAACATACTTTCGATATATGCAAGAGATATGAAAGAAATAAAAAATTGATTTAACATTGATCATAAGTCAGGAGTGTGAAATACCAGTCATCAATCATCTACTTTGCATAAAAACATAAAAATGGAATAATATGTGTAGTTTTTGACAAGTATGTAAGTAATTTTGACGTTATTGTTTGCCGAGATAGACTGATGTTACTGTACATCACTTGTAATGGTTCAAACTTGAGGCCTTGTAGTGTAAAGCCTAAGTAATGTTGACTTGTCATCTTATATAGCAATATTTTATATTATTATACATCACAAGTTATTAGTCAGAATAAAATATTTGTTTACAATATGTTTTTTATTATTTACTAGCTTTCGCCCGCAAATCCGTCCGCGTAGAATTAAAAAAAAAATGAGTAGCCTATGGTATGTGTTCTTCCAGACTATTCTCTACATCTTTTGCAAATTACGTAGAAATCAGTTCAGACATTCAGGCTACAAACTTTAACAAACATCCATCCATCTAAACTTTCGCATTTATAATATTAGTAGGAAGTATGATGACATCCTTTTTATTACACTCTCTTGAAGATTACAAAAAAAAAAACAAAAATTTTAATATTGCTGTGCGATTTTAGATGATTAACGGATGTAATACATTATTTTCTAGTAAGAAAAATAGTATCTTCTTCCTTAGCTCTAAAGCCCTTTGTGGGCCTTGGCTTGGTCAAGCAATTTTTTTTTCTTCGGTCTATTAGTGGCTACCGATTTTCAGTCAATAAAAATAGTTTACACTATTAAAAAAAACAATCCTTATTAGAATTGGCATTTATTGTAAATGTTTCAGTTATCAAAATCACGGCAAAAAATAAATTAAGTACAAAATATTTTGGTAAGTACATATCAAGTACAATATGTTCCATTTATTCTTAATAATTAATGTTATATCACTCAAATACGTTAATGTCGTTTGTAGGGAACGTTAAATACAACTCCATTGAATTAAAATATATAATTGACTAGATGTGCCTTAGAAAGGCGAGTTCATCCCTAACTTTGTGCCGAAGTCCAATCTCGCTCGCCGCTGGTTGCGGACATCAGCTCTGTATGAAATAATAATAAAAATCATTATCACCAATAATACAAAAACATACATATCCGAGAATTTCACTCATATTACGAAACATCATCATGAGGTAGGCTTTCTACAACGAAATTTTACACTACTTAAATTCTGATATACAAAACATTTTTAAAACTCAATACATTAAAAAATCACATTAGCACAGTTGTGTTGTCGTTTCTATTTTGTTCATTATTCAATTTTACTTTAAAAGTTGGCAGCCCTAAATATAGATGTAAATATTAACTGACTTGATCTCCTGCCACTTGATGAGCTCGTTGAGCAGGAGGACCGCGAGCGGGGAGGCGGCAT